GCCCCCGCCCCTGGGGAGCTGGGGCAGCACATCGAGTCCCAGTTCCAGCAGGGTGTGGGAGCTGAGGGGGTCTGTCCCGCCCGCCAACCTTAGCCCGTGTCTGTGTTTAAAGAAAAACACGAGCAGCCGGGCGCACGGAAGAAGTGTAAGCTGAGCACGAAAAGCAAACAGGCTGATGGGCGTGCGGGCGAGGTGCGTGTCGGGCTCTTTCATAGAATCATAGAATCTTAGGGGTTGGAAGGGACCTCGAGAGATCATCTAGTCCAACCCCCCTGCCAGAGCAGGGTCACCCAGAGTACATCACACAGGAACTCATCCAGGTGGGTTTTGAATGTCTCCAGTGAGGGAGACTCCACACCCTCCCTGGGCAGCCTGTCCCAGGGCTCTGTCACTCTCACAGTAAAAAAATTTTTTCGGATATTCTCCTTGAACCTCCTATGCTCCAATTTACACCCATTACCCCTTGTCCTATCACTGGTCATCACCGAGAAAAGCCTAACTCCGTCCCCCTGACACTCACCCCTTACATATTTGTAAACATTGATGAGGTCACCCCTCAGTCTCCTTTTCTCCAAGCTAAAGAGACCCAGCTCCCTCTTTGCACGAGTAACAACTGACAGGACAAGAGGAAACGGCCTCGAGTTTCGGCGGGGAGGTTTAGATGGGATATTAAGGAAAACTTCCTCACTGAGAGGGCGGTCAGGCCGTGGCCCAGGCTGCCCGGGGCAGCGGTGGAGTCCCGGTCCCTGGAGGGACATAAAAGCCGTGTAGATGTGGTGCTGAGGGACGCGGGTTAGTGGTGGCAGCGCTGGGTTAACAGTTGGGCTTGATGACCTTCACAGTCTTTTCCAGCAAAAATAATTAAATGCTTATTAACCAGAGCACTTAACAGGGTAGGTGAATGTTTGAAACAGGATGGGGTAGGGGGGGAATGTAAAGAATGGGCTGATTTACCAAGAGTAGGTTATTTCAGGTTCATAGTCTCTCAGAAGAAACTCATGGTGCTATGGATCTATCCTGGAGAGTAAGAAACCTGCCCCCCTGGCTGTGCAGGAGCTTCTACTGTGCCATAAATTCGCAAAAATTTCCTTTAGACTTTATTTACTATGGTAATTTGTAAGATTATCAATTTCAAATATCATTAAACTGGAACATATCTGTTGGCAGGCATAACATTTCACCTGTGTGGGACAGCTAGGAAGAGTTGGTGACTGCCTGCCTTCTGGAAAAGCACTGTGTCACCTGGGGATCTCCAGTCTGGTAACAAAATATTTTTCCACTCACATTTTCCAGACACTTCTAAAATAAACCCTTCAGAAGCTGGCCAACCTTTTTGTTTAACAAAATGGACTATCTCCTAAAAGAGAAAACAAAGGTTCCATAGCCTCACGGGCTGGCTTGGGTTGGAAGGGACCTTAAAGACCATCTAGTTCCAACCCCCTGCATGGGCAGGGACACCTCCCACCAGCCCAGGCTGCTCCAAGCCCCATCCAACCTGCCCTGCAACACTGCCAGG